CTACTACTACTACTACTACTACTACGCCGCCTACTACTACTACTACTACTACTACTACTACTACTGCTACTAATACTACTACTACCACTACTACTACTACTACTACTACTACAACTACTACAACTACCACGACCACTACGAGCACTACGAGCACTACTACGACTACTACTACGACGACTACGACTACCACTTCTACGAATACTACTACTACTACTACTACAAGTACGAATGCTACGACTACTACTACGACTACTACTACTACTACTACTACTACGACGACGACTACTACTACTACTACTGCTACTACAACTACGACTACTACTACTACTAATACTGCCACAAGTACTACTACTACCAGTACTGCGGCTACTTCTACTACTACTACTACTACTACTACTACTACTACGACTGCTACTACTACTACTGCTACTACTACTACCACTACTACTGCTGCTACATACTACTAAACACTACTACTACTACTACGACTACTACTACTACGACTACTACTACTACTACTACTACTACCACGACTACTACTACTACTACTACTACTACTACTACTAGTTCTACTGCGATCACGCTACTACGACTACTGCTACCACTACTCTACTACTACTACTAACTACTACTACTACTACTACTACTATTACTACGACTTCTACTTACTACTACTATTACTACTACTACTACTAACTACTACTACTCTACGACTGCTGCTACTCTACTACTACTGCTACTGTCTACTGCCTACTGCTCTACTACTTACATACTAACTACTAACTACTACTACTACTACTAACTACTACTACTATTTAACTACTGCTACGACTACTACTACTATTACTAACGACTCCTATACTACTAAGTTTTTACTAACTCCACTACTACTACTACTAGCGACTACGACTAACGACTGTTACTACTACTACGACTACGACCAGTACTACTACTACTACTACTACTACTACTACTGCTACTACCACTACGACTACTACAACGACTACCACCACTACTACCACCAACGCTACTACTACTGACACTACTACTACTACTACTACTACTACTACTACTACTACTACTACTACTACTACTACTGCGACTGCTGCTACTACTACTATTACTACTACTACTACTACTCCGGCTACTACTACTACTACTACTACTACTACTACTACTACTAGTAGCTACTACTACTACTACTACTATTATTACTACTACTACTACTACTACTACTGCGACCACGACTACTACTACGATGATTGCTACGACTACTACCACTGCTACTGCTACTACTACTACTACTACCACTACTACTACTACTACTACTGCTACTACTACTACTACTACTACTACCACTACTACTACTACTACGATTACTACGACTACTACGACTACGACTACGACTACGACTACGACTACTACTGCTACTACTGCTACTACTACTACTACTACTACTACTACGACTACTACTACCACTACTACTACTACATCTACTACTACTACTACTACTACTACTACTACTACTACTACTACTACTACTACTAACGGATATCACGGATACTACGGATACAACTACTACTACTACTACTACTACCACTACTACTACTACTACACTACGACTACTACTACTACTACTACTACTACCACCACTACTGCTACTACTACCACTACTTCTACCAATACTACTACTGCAGCGAAAAATACAACTACTACTTCTACTACTACTACGACTACGACTGCGATTACGATTGCGACTACGACTACAACTACGACTACGACTCAGACTACTACGGCTACTACGACTACTACTACGAGTGCTACTACTACTACTACCACTACTACTACTACGACTACTACTTACTACCACTACTACTACTACTACTACTACTACTACTACTACTACTACTACTACTACTACTACTACTACTACTACTACTACTACTACTACTACTACTACTACTACTACTACTACTACTACTACTACTACTACTACTACTACTACTACTACTACTACTACTACTACTACTACTACTACTACTACTACTACTACTACTACTACTACTACTACTACTACTACTACTACTACTACTACTACTACTACTACTACTACTACTACTACTACTACTACTACTACTACTACTACTACTACTACTACTACTACTACTACTACTACTACTACTACTACGACTGATACGACTAATGCTACTACGCGCTATCGCTGGATTCTCGCGATTCATGCAGGACGCATTTTTAGCAACCCGCCTGCTCGACCTGGCCGCCTGGGCCCGCCTCCCCGACCCGCCTGCTAGGGCCTACCCGCCCGATCTGCCCGTCTGGTTCTGCTACGCGGTTTCTGCCTAGCCCCCACCGCTGCTACTCTCTCTCTCTCCATCTCTCTCTCTTTCTCGCTCTCTCGTGCTCCATCCTCCTCCCTCCCTGTTTGCCTCGTTCCTTCATTCGGCCTCTCTTCCCCTGCCGTAGACGCTGCAAGAAATACAGATTGCAGGTCGGAACGAAATCCCCACGAGGGGGTACGATCGAAAACGAAGAGGGCGGTTATCGACGGTTTGGGATATACGTGCTGAATAGCACACAAGCAGATAAGGGCGAACAGTCTAAACATGAGTGTTGCTGTTGCTGCTAAGCCTGCTAAGCGTGTTCAATGAAGCCGCGGATGGAATGAGCTGGTGACGAATTATACATGCGGACGAGACAAAAGCATGCCGCATGCTGTCTGGCCATGCCGAGATGAACTTTTATGCATGTCGCCAACGAGGTGTGCTTGTGGCCCTGTGTTGTTGTTCCGAAACTCTTGGCTCAAAGCGCTTAGGCGCTAGAAACCACTCCGACAAAAAAGAGTGAGACCGTGCTAGTGCCCAGAGTAGGCCTTCGACAGACCGTGCTACAGCCTGCGCCGTTACGAAATGCTCGCAGAAGCATGGATATCGTCACCAACAGCCCCGCGAGATGAGGCACAAATCTCACGAGACAGACCAGTCACCTCGCAACGACGATGGCGAAACGGGCAGAAACCAGGAAGCCACTAAAGGCAATAGTGACGCACGACAGAACCGTCGTGGCATAGTTGGTTCAAAGCATCCGCCACGCGCCATGCGCGAAATGCTGCAGGAATCGTGCGCGGCGACAGACCTCAAGTCAAAGAGCAGGCTCTCGGCCCGAGACGCGAGGAGTGGAAACGTGAAGACCCTGGGGGGAAGCGAGAGGTTGTGGGCCTTCTCAGAAGGCTCGGACGTCCTCAAACCTGCTGAGAAATGTTCCAAGCCTTCTCCGATAACTTGGGTGTCCCAAAACCGTGTGGTGACAGACCCGGCGGTGACCTCGAAATCCGCAAAGACCTCACCGCACGGTCCGTCACCACACGGTTTTGGGACCCTGGAGGCTCCAGTCGCCCGAGACATCCTCAGAGAACGACCCAAGTCCCAAAACCGTGCGGTGACCCCGAATCCCCACCGACTCACCACACGGTGTGGTCACCACCCCGTTTGGGAGCCCCCGAATAACACCACTATCTTCTCTCAGAAGACCGGAAGGCGTCGGAGAAGCCCCACCGCCTTCTGCGAGGGCCTTCTCCTTCTCACGTCCCCCCTTGCGACAACAGTGTCAGGAGATGCAAAGCAGCGCAAACAAATGCAATGAAACACAAAGAAATACAAAACAACGCAAGCAATGCAAGGCAATGAAACACAATGTAGCGCAACGCAAAGCAGCGCGACTAAAAAATATCATGGCGAAGGTCCCAACCATATGCAGTTGTGGGCACCGTAATTGTGAATATCTGCTGCTCCCTATGGGGCCACGAAGCGCTGCACTGGGCGGGGGGGAACGCTGTACTGTGTGGGTGGTGTGCCAAATTGGGTTTCCGGGACGCATGCGGACGGTCCCACTGGGGCCTTGGGTGGAGCCCCCTATGGGGCCACGAAACGCTGCACTGGGTGGGTGAAAATGCCAAATTGGGCTTCCGGGACACATGCGGACGGGGGCACTGGGGCCTTCGGTGGAGCTCCCTGTGGGGCCACGAAACGCTGTACTGGGTGTGCGGGACGCATGCGGACGGTAGCGCTGTTACCTTCGGTGGGGCTCCCTATGGGGCCACGAAGCACTGTACTGGGCGTGCGGGACGCATGCGGACGGTAGCACTGTGACCTTCGGTGGGGCTCCCTATGGGGCCACGAAACGCTGTACTGGGTGGATGAAACGCAGGGAGGAGGGGGAGGAGGGCCACGAAACGCTGTACTGGGTGTGCGGGACGCATGCGGACGGTAGCACTGGGACCTTCGGTGGGGCTCCCTATGGGGCCACGAAGAGCTGTACTGGGCTGGTGAAACGCAGGGAGGAGGGGGAGAAGGGCCACGAAACGCTGTACTGGGTGTGCGGGACGCGTGCCGACGGTGGAGGAGGAGGGGGAAGAGGAGCGGAGAAGGAGAACGCGGGGACCGTCTCGTCAAAACGAGGACCCAACACCACAGGATGGTTGGGAACAGTGCGATGGCAATACTGTGCCCAGACGACGAGCGGCGACGGGCGGCGACGAGGCGGCGAGCGGCGACAGGGCGGCGACGGCGGCTACAGAGCCGCCAAACCGCCACCGCCGCCCAGTTCCTCAGAACAGACAAAGAACCGCTGACTGCAAGCACTGTCTTGTTGTTGTTCCCCAGGCAATGTTTGCACTTGAGGATTCTTACTTGGCTTAACCATCTCGGAGTGGATGGCAGTTTTCGCTGGCGGTGCCGCCTGTCGCCGCCGTTTGCGGGCGGTGCCGCCCGTCGCTGCCGTCGCCGTCGCCGCCGCTCTGGGCGAGCGGCGGTTTTTGCGAGCGGTGCCGCCCGTCGCCGCTGTTGCCGTCGAATGGATTGTCCTTTCTAAAACAAAAAATGGGTTCGATTCCCGCCCCTGGATCATGGGTCGCCTCTTTTCGTATTGTAATCCCACCAGCCCTCTGGGCGTCGGTGGTTTAACGAGTTTCCTCTTCCACCCCTCCCTCTTCCCCTTCGGGGAGGGGTTTACCCCTCCCCCTACCCCCTCCCCAGACCTGGACAGGGGGTTCCGCGGCGCGTTGGAGCGCCCAACATGGCCCAAGACGGCTCCAAGAGGGCCTCAGGGAGCCCAAGATACCCTCCAAGATGGCTCAAGATAGCGCAAGATGCCTCAAGATGGTCCCCATGATGTTCCAAGACGTTCCAAGAACTCTCCAAGACGGTACCAAGTGCCCACAAGAGCATCATTAGGATGCATCCAAGAGGCCAAAATGCGTCAAAACCCTAGGGATGCACATCCGAGGCGTCAAGATGGCTCCAAGATGGCTCAAGATAGCTCCACGAAGGGCCCAAGAAAGCCCCATGACGGCGCCAAGAGCGCCGAAGAGCGCTCCAAGAGCGGTCCCAGAGCGGTACAGGAGACGATTTTTGGAGTTCCTGGAGGGGGGTTCTAATTAAGGAACCCTACTTCCTTGACCGATGTCCCCCAAGAGGCCCCCAGGAGGCCCCCAAGAGACCCCCAAGAGGCCCCAAGAGACCCCCCAGAGGCACCCAAGAAGCGCCCAGGAGGCCCCAAGAAGCGCCCAGGAGGCCCCCGAAGGCCCCAAGATGGCCCCAAGAGGCCCCAAGCGGCCCCCAGGAGGCCCCAAAGAGGATCCCGAACGGCTCACAGAGGCCCCCCCGAGGCACCCAAGACGCAGAAAAGTCCCTTCAGGACGACCCTCTACTCGCCTGGGCGTCGTTTCTGGACGGGCTGGTGGGGATACGCGAAACGTCTAGAATTTACAGACGATGATGCCCCACCGTCCATCCTAAATATGAGCCTATACCATCCCAGTCGAACCCGTACCCCCAAACCCCGCCATCCCCTGCAAAAAACTATGCGCGCACACTCGTCTATCAAAAAGAACCCGTCTTCAACGATCCCCTGCAACAAAGTCAATGACATGCACACACGCGCGATGTCGCGCGCGCATGCCGACACCATGTAAGAACAATCGGTTTCGTTAAAAAAATAAACATTGCAAACCAAACTTGCTTTTCAGTTCCGTATATCACCAAACAACTTTTATTGGTGGGAAAACCATCGCGCGCGCTCTTGCGAATCCTTACGAATAGGGGAGGAGAAGAAACAAACATAAGAAAACAACAAACAACAAACAAATGATGTCTCATCACTTCCAGGACATACTACCAAACGGGCTTCGCGCGCGCATGCCGAAATATGTCGATCGCCTTTGCCCGCGTGCCGTCGCGAGAACGGTTTGGAAAAGACTGACGACATCCATGCGCGCGTCGTCGCGCGTGCATGCCGAAATCTATCAAAAACCTGCGGTGCCATAGCGGTTCCAAATCCGAATGTTCAAAACACATACAAGAACACATGGCTTCGCAACAAAAGTGTTCAAAACAAACGCGCGCTCGCACTCTTGCGAATTCGCATGGAAAAATATAAGTTATCCTACCAACGCGTGTCATTATGCCACGCGGGACTGTCGCGCCGCATGCCGAAATCATTCGCACGCCCTTGCGAACGTGCTGAGGGGGGGCACGATCCGTGTCAAATAAACAATACGGGCCACTCTCGCGCGTCGGCCGCGCGCGCAAATCGAACTCTTTCCGAAACCTCCATCGCCGACGCGAGGACGCCGCCATCGTCGTCGGCGCGATCAGCATCGGCGCCCGCAGTGGCCGCGCCGTCGTCGCTGTCAACATCGCCACAAGAACCGCTACTAGCATCATCCTGTCTACCGTTGTCGGCGTTGCCATGATACCGCGTATCGCAGTGCACATGCGATTCAGCCCCATCGCCCATCCAAAGTATGAACTCATACTATCCCAGCCCAACCGACATCCGCCTCCCCGGCCGCCCCCTGCAAAAAAATGGCGCGCGCACATTCATCCATCAATGATCATAACTTGTCAAGAATTATTTTGGCAACAAATGCGACGAAGTGCACGCGCGCGCGTCGTCGTCTCGCGCGCATGCCGACATCCTTTTTGAAAAATAATTACAATGTTTGTTTCATGTGTTGGAGAAGGTCGCGCGCTCTTGCGAATTCGACCGGGAACCATGTTCTTTCAACCTTTCCATTACATGCTACCACACGAGCTTCGCGCGCGCGTCGAAATCGTTCGAACGCCCTGGCGCGCGCGCCGGGGCGGCACGATCCGCGTCAAATAAAACACCGCGGGACACTCTCGAGCGTCTGCTGCGCGCGCGCCGGACTCCGTCCGAAACCTTCATCGCCGACGCGAAGACGCCGTCATCGTCGGCGGCGCGATCTGCATCGGCGCCGCGACTGGCCGCGCCGCCGCCGTTGACAGCATCGCCGCCAGCATCGCAACTGTCGTCGTCGCGCCAACCGTTGTCGAAGTCGCCGCGCTGCCGCGCCCGCCAGCGCGGCTGCAGAGATGCACCAGCCAACGCCAAGCGCTGCCGCGCGGGTTTTGCCGCGGGCGGGCGGGCGGGATGATGGCGCGAGAGGTGGAGTCGACATTTTCAAGCTCGGCAAGGGAAATCCACCCTTCTGTTTTTTTACAAAAAAATGAGGACCCCCCACCCCCCACCCCCGAGTTTATCGGCGCACGCTCGTTTATCAGTTGTTATGAGTCCCCTACAAAAATGAAAGGAATTGCACGCGCGCAAGTCGCGGCGCGCACATGCCGGGGGGGGAATTGCGGTTTCGCGTGGAGTTTCAATTCGAGCGGCGTTTTTTGTCTCTCAGTTCGAAAGGGAGCAAAAAAAAAGGAGCTCCGCAAGAATGGAAACACACGGCTTCGCAACGCGGCGCACACATCGAGATGCACGTGAGAAATGAGCAACAAATCGCACGCCAACAGCACCAACAACAACAACAAAGAAACACGCGCGCTCTCGCGAATTCTTGAACAAAATGCGAGTTTTTCAACACGTTCATGAAATACTACCACACGGGTTTCGCGCGCGCACGTCTACATCGCACGCCTTTCTGCGCGCGCGCGCCGTCGCCAGTATATATATATTATATATATATATATATATATATATATATATATATATTAAAACGTATTTAGATAATAAAAAGGAAGAACTTCACGATCACCTGCTTTCGCAACATCCGCTCTCCAAAAAACTCGCGCGCTCTCTCGCGCATTCGCATGGGAAACCACGTGATTTTTTTTTCAACGCGCGCATGAACTTTTGCCAAACTGGCCTCTGGCGCCGCATGCCCACATCATTCGCGCGCCCTTGCGCGCGCGCGCTGGGGGGGGGGGGGC